AGTGCACAGTCACTTGGATGGACTGGATGCATTCAATTCAGCAGGCCCGGATGAGCTGCATCCAAGAGTACTGAAGGAATTGGCTGGTGCCATAGCAGAACCACTGGCACGGCTGTCTGAGCACTCATGGCACTCAGGTCAGGTCCCGGAGGACTGGAAAAGGGCCAATGCGGTCCCTATTTTCAAGAAGGGGAGGAAGGAGGATCCGAGTAATTATAGGCTAGTCAGTCTCACCTCCATCCTTGGAAAGGTCTTGGAAAAGATTATGAAGGATCATATTTGTGGGAGTCCAGCAGGAAAAATAATGCAGCAGGGAAACCAGCATGGGTTCGTAGCAGGTAGATCATGCCTGACCAATCTGGTTTCATTTAATAACAGGGTCACAAAATGCTTAGATGCAGGAGTAGAGGTGGATGTCATTTTCTTGGATTTTAGCAAGGCTTTCAATACGGTATCTCATCCCATTCTCAAATAGCTCCCCCAGACCTGATTGAAGACTGTAAACTGTCAGGTCTGGAAGACTTTAGGGGTGCAGCCCTAGAGCATATAAAAGGAGCTGCGTGTCCAGCACAAGGGGCAGATGCGTCGGGGACTGAGAAGAGAGAAGAGTCGGGGCTTAGAAGAGCTGAGGAGAGCTGCTCAGCAGGGTGAAGCAGTAGCCCAGGAAGAGCCCTTCAAGACTTTTATCAGCAGGGAGTGTGGCACGGCTCCAACGGTTAGGATCTCGGTGCATGGCGCATGGCATCCAGGACCTGGGAGCTGCATGAGGTGGCTCAGGTCTGCAACCTCTGGCATGCATCCAGAGACACGGTGCACAGGCCGGTGCATGGAGCAGGATCTTTGGAGCCCCTGGGGTGGCTCAGGTCCTCAACCCCTGGAATGAGGCTGGGAGCTTGGGCAGAAGGTGCTGCATAGAGGGTGAGAGACCCTGGAGATGCTTGAGGTGGCTCAGATCTACAGCTGCTGACATGGGGCAGCAGCTCAGTGCAGACAACACAGCCCAGAGGGTCTGGGAACAGACTGAGCCCCGGTGCTGCACAAGGCTGTCCAGGCCCCCAACCCTTAGCACAAGGCAAAGCATCCACTACCCACAGCGGTGCCCGGATGGCGGCAGCAGAGTCAGGTGGCAGGAAAACCCGGCAGGGACAGAGCTTGACCTGGAGAACAAGAGGCAACCCTCCGGGACCGTGGAGTAGTGATAAGTTACCCTGGAGAGAGGGTAACCCCCCACCCACCCACCCCGAGGGTTGCAAAGTGGCACCACATGGGCTGCTCCTGGATGATAGCAGGGGAGCTTAGGAGTGTTCAGGGTCTTCCTCTCCTTTGTTCTTTCCCCCCACCTCCTTTCCTTAGTGGTACCTTGAGAGTGGGGCCCCTGCCCTGGAGGGCACCCAAGTATGTCTAAGGACTTTCTGATTATATTTGTAGACTGTGCCTTGCAGTTTATATGAATAATTTGAAGTAATAGTTTGTGTATGAATAGAGTTATAAGGTTGCCCAATCAATATCCTTTGGTCAGGTTTTGTTCTATTGTTCATCTGTATTTTAAATGATACCTGGGTGTGGTATATCTGCATATAGATATAGATATATATAGATATAGATATTATAGGGTTTATTGTTTTGTCAACTTGTACACACACACACACATTATATATATATAATCTATGTCCTTACCCTTTAATGGTTTTGTGATAATAAATCTGTATATAGTTAAGTAATTGATTGACTGGACCTGACTCTATAGGGGACAGAAGCAGCCAATGGGCTGTTGTGTCCCTCCGCAGCACATTGCTGTGTCAATAATTCCCTCAATTGGAGAGGGAAGTACAAACCCATTTACATCCGGGGCTACACATGCATCAGCAGATGCATGACAAACAAAACTAAGGAGGTGATACTTCCCCGCTATGTGGCATTTGTCAGACCACATTTGGAGTATTGCGTCCAGTGTTGGGCACCATACTTCAAGAAGGATGTTGATAGACTCGAGTGGGTCCAGAGGAGGGCCACTCGTATGATTAGAGGCTTACAGGACAAGCCCTATGAGGAGAGACTGGGGGACCTGGACCTCTTCAGCCTCCACAAGAGAAGGTTGGGAGATCATCTTGTGGTCGCCTACAAATTCATTAGGGAGATGCAGCAAGGGATCGGAGATGCTCTGTTCACCAGGGCACCTCTTGGGGTAACAAGGAACAATGGTCACAAACTGACAGAGAGCAGATTTAGGCTAGATATCAGGAAAAACTTCTTCATGGTAAGGGTGGCCAAAATTTGGAATGGGCTTCCAAGGGAGGTGGTGCTCTCCCCTACCTTGGGGTACTTTAAAAGAAAGCTGGATAGGCATCTTGCTGGTGTCAGATGACCCCAGCACTTTTCCTGCCTAGGCAGGGGGTCAGACTCAATGATCTGTCGAGGTCCCTTCCAACCCTAGTATCTATGAATCTATGAATTTAATAGCTCGAGAATGTAAGCAGTTCCTCATGCTGTCTACCTCAATACATAACTGTATGTACTGAGTATGGTCATAATCAACAGGCATGAATCTCTGGTGATGATATGCTACAATTTGTTCTACAATTTGTCCTCCCCTGCTTATGACTTTCTATGCCATGAGTAATGGCACAAGATCTAGATTCAGATCCACAAAGTGAAATTCCTCAGCGTACCTTGGCCTTCCAAGTCTAGCTACGGGCCATGCCCACCTTCTCACCCATGCCATATGTATGTCTGGCAAGACAGCCTTCACAACCCCAGGAGGGTCAGCATTTGCAGGATCCTCCAACGGGTCTTTTAAGTTACACTTGCCATCTCTGTTCTGACTCCACAGGCTTGAAAGGAGGGGAGCTTTTGAGGGTCCCTCCAGAGTGCCTTCTAAAACATGTTCACCACCCCAGCTCTCTGACTCGGCAGGTCTGGGAGGAGTGGAAGCATCCCAGGGATCCTCCAACAGGTCTTCTAAATCACCATCACTAGGGAATCTCTTATTTTGTATTAATAGGTGTTTTGCCTTCCCCACTCTCATCTTTAACCAAGCCCTTATTATTTGCCCTGTAAGGTACTTGCTGATTAGCCCTCCATGCTTACCCAGGGTATCACCTCCTCCCCACTTAAGATGCGTGCCATGTCTGCTGTCCAGACCATAGAGACTGCTCCCCTCTGAACAAAATCTACCCTTTTGCTCTGACAATAGTCGTGATCTTTCAAAGCATTCTGCATGTTCTTTCTGCAATGTATATGCCTGCCAGCACTCCCCAAGGACCTCCTTTTTTCACAATAATCATGATGGTTCAAAAAAAGGTGAAGAATCTCTTCCTTCTCCTTTAGGCTTCTCTAAAATATGTGAACATAGATTCACAGATTCATAGATTCATAGATGTTAGGGTTGGAAGGGACCTCAATAGATTATCGAGTCCGACCCCCTGCACAGGCAGGAAAGAGGGCTGGGGCTAGATGACTCCAGCTAGATGCCTATCTAACCTCC